TCGTGACGTTTCATCGACGCTGCCATGCATGCCGTCAGCCGCTTCTTCTGCATGGCTGTGAATTGCGTGTCAGTAGCGAACGGTGACGATGACGTGACAGATTACACCATCGACACACACTCACCTGTTGATGGCACTTACCGGCATGCGCGGCAGCCACGCCTGCAGACAAGATCTTTCGCTGTCTATTGCGCAGTTAGGTCATGCTGGGACAGCAGCGGATCGAAGATTTTAGCGTGCCGGCTGTCATCTTGCGGGCTCGCTGTGCTTGCAGCCAGCCGTCGTGCGCCCCTCCATGGCCAGCTGGGGGCCGGAGAGGGCCGCCATGATGTTCGGATCACCATTTGGTCCGCACGGCGGCTGGCAGAAGCTCTGGCAGCAGGAGATGGAGCTTACAACGAGGCTGCCTTACGCACCGCCGTGACCGACAGCTGGCCGCCAGCACAAACTCTGAGCCCCTGCATGGGCGGATAAGGCGGACGAAGCTAACACAATATGACAAGCAAAACAGCGAGTGCACGGATGGCAGCACAGATGGGAAGCAGACCGGCATCGGTGGCACTTACCGCCCGCATGTGGGCGCTGCACATTTGTTGCGTTGCAGAAGCCACCCGACCCCACGCAGGAACATCGCGAAGCGGTCGGATGGCCTCCAGTCCACCCGCGCTGTTTAGGGGCTTCGCCGATACCATGGGTCGATTCGTTCCACATTACTGTATGCTTGTTGAACTGTGGACAGACGGTCACGATGCCACACCGAACACGTCGAAAAGGCGACAACTCGCGTGTTAAAACAGTGAAACGCACGTCTGAACGATGACAGAAACAATGGCGATGGTACGCAAATCCTGGCTGCCTGCCGGGAAGTGCACCCGCAGGTGTCGTGTTAGGTTGATGACCACCGCCGGGCACTGGTGCTGCCCGTCACTGGCGCCGAACGGGCAGCGCCAGCGTGGCCGGGTGCGCTTGGCCGCTGCTGGAGGGCAGTCGGCCTCGGCGGCTCGGAGACGCTTTGCCTCCTC